AACCTCCACTACAGGGCTGGCTACGTCATGACCCAGAACGACAAGCAGGTATATCGCAACGTAGTGGGGCGGAGCGACAGGAGGATCAAGTGGGGCCCTGGCGTGCGCTCGCGCGCTGAGGCGTGGTCCGTTGCCCTGGCTTTCATCGACGATCGGTCGCAGGCCAGCACATCTCATCGTTTGTTGTTGCAGCGATGGGTTCGCTTGTGCATCTGTGGTGTAAAAAAATACGGTGCGATCGTCGCATCCTGTCTCATTCGTGTCGGTTGCGTTGCGGTCATCGCATCTCGCATCAGTCCGTCGTAAGCATTTTGGCTGGCATGGCGTCGGGCCCGCGGCCGAAGCGGCCCCGAACACACCCGGAGGCATTAGTTGAGGTCCACCGCGGCCCGTATGTTGTCCAGGCAGCATTGTCTCACGTGCTCACTTACGTTCGTGACAATGGGTTGCCAGACGCTGTCTCGCGGGTTTCTCAATATAGGACATATGAGAAACATGTGGTCGGTGATCGTAACACATATGGCCTTATCTTGAATGGCGTGCAGATGCCTGTTGGCGACGATAACGATGGGGCACATTTGAGAATTGGGCGCGTAAGCCGGGGGCGTTCTTGTACGCCATATGCAAGAAAAGCGGGCCGTTCAGGTCACTGATGCGCCACCAATTGCAAACGCACCCATGTTCTTTAGTTGTGCCTTGGAAGAGATTCTTTATTTCGATGGTATATCGCCACGCGGTCCTCTCGCGAAAGGCAAAGACCACCGTGGTATGGATGCTGTGTACGGGTCTTTTGCCGAATGCGACGAACACTTGCGAAACGAAGATCTATGGTTCACGCTCAGCACCGCACGCGTTGCCAAGGTTAAAGATATGCCTGGGGGCATCGGGCAATCTATCCGCATGATGCTCAGCGAGCTTTTTTTGATAGATCGGGTGGCGTTAACTTTGAGACAACGGGGGTTACGCTGGATGTATCTGCCTTGGGCGACGCAACAACATACGCAACGATCGTTGCGAGATTGGCGTGAGTTATAGGAGACGAGGAGGCATTGAGGGAGTTTCATATGAACAAGGGGCACGCTGGCTCTAAGCCCTGCGCAATGCGCAGGAACGTCCTTAACAAGAAATTCGGCTACACACAATTCGACAGCACGGGGACACACGTTGAAAGCAAACTCACCTACAACACCGACGCGACAGTCGTCGCGATCTGGGAGAGGTTGCGCCCTGATTGGGAGAGGTACCAGCGAGACTAGCTCACAGGCGCACAATACACATCTGTCACGCAGGTGAAAGGTTGGAATTTCCATCCAATGCATGTCGCACTGGACCCGTTTCTTAGATACTTGGTTATGACATTCTTCTGCTTCGATTGGATGCGCGTACATTTCGTTAGTGGCGTTTTGGATCGGGAAGTCAGGGCCCTGACGAAGCTGTGCAGCGCCGACGACCTCCACGACTACTTCATGAAGTGGACATGGCCATCCAAACACCACTCTGCTGCAACAGTCTGGGAAACGGGAGACTTCCAGGCGAGTGCCTCGCAAGAGCTATCTGCGATTCCCGCGTTGGCTCTATACACCAGGCAAGTCATTGTCAATGCACCATCATGCGATGCAGTCGCAGACCAGATAGCAAGCATGCTGGCGATATGTGACGTCGTGGATGTCATTCCCTGCGCGTCGAGGCGATTGTCATGCACGCGCGACGAGGTTGAGCCAGCAGTGTTGAAACATTCTGAACGTCACCAGCGTGCAAATGGTGCCAAGCACTGGGCGTATCAGCATCACATGGCTATCCACTTGGCTGACATGTTTGAGAGGCATGGTGCTTTATCATGTTTTGTCCAAGAGCGGAAACACAAACATGTCAAACGGTTTGCAAAGGACCACCTGTGCAAGACGAGGCCCGAGAAGGCTGCAATGATCCAGCGCACGGCTCAGCTCATGCATGATATACAGAACATCCGCGGGTTGTCACTGGAGTGCGAGTTCGAGCGCGCCACAGCTGCAAGCAAACGTTTGTTGGGTGCTTTGCAGCAGCTGCGCCCAGGCACGCATGCAGCAGTCTCGACCATTGAAGCGCACGCCGAACATGGAGGAAACATCAGACGTGGCGACATAGTTTTGATGGGGCGCGATCGCGGCCACGTTGCAGTCCAAGTGTGGTTCCACGTGAATGCGACGACGATCCGCCGCAGAGCTTAGTTCGCATTCTGATTACAAAGTATGTGCATGCGAGCGAACACTTCTCTAGGCATGTCACCGATGATGCTCGCGATCCCGTTCTCATCCCCTTATTTTGTTGAAATCTCCAGTGGTTCTGGAGAGTTGGCGATAATATCGCGTGCATTTGGCCCGCTGAACACCGTAACTTGTTATGTTAGCGCATACTTTGTAACAGAAGCAACATCGATACGCACAGAAGACAACATGCAATGTCCAAAAAGCAACATGCACGCTCCAAAATTATCCTGGCGAAAGACCCAACCATACGCAAGTATGAGAACCGCAAGGCAGGTGGGACGAAGCAAGGGGACTTTCCTATGGGCCACGAACCGTGTGAGGGGGTGCGCCAAAATGGGGCGGGGCCGCCATGCGAACCCTGCCACTGGGGCCTTCGGTGGAGCTCCCTATGGGGCCACGAACCGTGTGAGGGGCGCGCCAAAATGGCGCGGGGCCGCCATGCGAACCCTGCCATTGTGGCCTTCGGTGCAGCTCCCTATGGGGCAACGAACCGTGTGAGGGGTGCGCCATAATGGCGCGGGGCCGCCATGCGAACCCTGCCACTGGGGCCTTCCGTGGAGCCCTCTATGGGGCCACGAACCGTGTGAGGGGTGCGCCAAGATGAAGCGGGGCCGCCATGCGAACCCTGCCACTGGGGCCTTCGGTGGAGCCCTCTATGGGGCCACGAACCGTGTGAGGGGTGCGCCAAAATGAAGCGGGGCCGCCATGCGAACCCTGCCACTGAGGCCTTCGATGGCTCCTTATGGGGCCACGAACCGTGTGACGGGTGCGCCCAAATGGCGCGGGGCCGCCATGCGAACCCTGCCACTGGGGCCTTCGGTGCAGCTCCCTATGGGGCCACGAACAATGTGAAGGGTGCGCCAAAACGCGGGGCCGCCATGCGAACCCTGCCACTGGGACCTTCGGTGGAGCTCCCTATGGGGCCACGAACCGTGTGAGGGGTGCGCCAAAATGGCGCGGGGCCGCCATGCGAACTATGCCACTGGAGCCTTCGGTGCAGCTCCCCGTGGGGCCACGAAACGCTGTACTGGGTGGGTGAAACGCAGGGAGGAGGGAGGAAGAAGAAGAGGAGGAGAAGGAGGAGGAGGAGTAGGAGGAGGGGGAGGAGGGAAGGAGTGAAGGAGGGAAGGAAGGAAGGAAGGAGGAACGCGGGGTACCGTCTCTTCAAAACGAGGACCCAACACCACAGGATGGTTGGGAAAAAACTTCAAAAATAAGCCACAAGCGAACATGACACTCCCAAAAACTCCAGCACGCTAACTAGTTATAACGAGTTAATAACTAGATATAACTCCAGCTAACTATTACTAACCGACGCGCTCCTTCAGGCGAGGGGCTTCGAGGGAGCTCCGAGGGAGGGGGCACCGAGGGGGCACCGAGGGGGCCCTGAGGGGGCCCCGCGAGGGAGGCCCCGAAGGGGCCCGGATGGGGGCCCGAGGGAGCTCGGAGGGGAGGATGCCCCGAGAGGGGGGGCCCGAGGGGGCTTCGCGAAGGCTTCGAGAAATCCCCAGAAAGGGGCCCCGAGGGAGTTCGGAGGGGGCTTCGAGGGGGCGCGGAGGAGGCCCGGAAAGGGCTCCATGCCCCGAGGGAGCTCCGGAGAGGGGCCCGAGGGGGCCCGGAAGGGCGAAGGGGGCCCCGGAGGGGCCCCAGAGAGCCCGAGGAGGCTCCGAGGGGGCCACGAGGGGGCCCCGAAAGCTTGAGGGGGCTCGGAGGGGGTTCCAAGAGGGGGCTCCGAGGGGGCTCCGAGGGAGGCCCGGAGGTCCCCCCGAAAAAGCGCCGAGGGAGCTCGGAGGGGAGGGGGCCCTGAGGTGGCCCGAGGGGGCCTCGCAAAGGCTTCGAGAAATCACCAAGGGGGCTCCGAGAGAACTCGGAGGAGGCCCGGAGGAGGCCCGCGAAGGGCCCCGAGGGAGCCCCGATCCTAGGAGGCCCCGAGGGGGTCAGGAGGGGGGCCCGAGGGAGCTCCCGAGGGGGCCCCGAGGGGGCGCCGAGGGGGGCCCGAGAAGAGGGGGGCCGGAGGAGCTACGAGGGGGGCTGGAGCCCCGGGGCCCAGGAAGGGCGTCGAGGAGGCCCCGAGGAGGCTCCGAGGGGGCTCCGAGGGGGCTCCGAGGGGGCCCCGAGGGGGCCCGGTGGAGGGCCCGGAGGGGAGGGGGGGGGGACACGAGAGAAGCATGCTTGACTCTCTCGCAAGACCCGCCGGCGGGGTCGCGTCCGGTTCGGCACGTCCTGTTCGGCGGGCCGGTTCGGTCCGGCCGGTTCGGTTCGCCGGGCCAGTTTGGGTCGGTTCGGCCAGTTCGGGTCGAGGGCCGGTTCGGTTGGATGGCCATTTTGCAAGTCGAGGCGCGTTTTTGCAAGTCCCGGAGGCGATTCTCCAAGTCCCGGAGGGCCCCCGGGAGCCTGATTTTCCTCTCCTTTGTCTTGTCCTTGTCCTTGTCCTGCTCCCCCTACTCCGTGGCGAACCGGGCGAAACTGGAGCGAACCGCGGCCCGAACCGGACGGCACTTCTCAGAACTCGACGAACCGAATTAACCGAACCAGAGAATTCCGACACCGAATTCGCGGCCCGAACCGAACCGGACGCACTTCGGAACGCAGCCGAACCGAACCGAACCGGACCCTTCTTGGAGAGGAGGCGGAGGAGGAGGCGGAGGAGAAGTGATGCCTGCCCCAGTCCTCCCTCTCCCTCTATACCTTCTCCCCCTTCGCTGCCAGAAAGGGTTGGGCGGGCGGAGCTGCCCCATGCTGTTCCCATCCAAGGAGTGGCGGATCCGCTGCACCGCGTGCGAGGCCCTCGGCGCCGTCTCCGAGGCCGGCGGCCCCGAGGTGGCCGGGAAGGCGCTGGAGCTGCTCTCGCGGCTGGCCCAGGACAAGAGCTCGAGTGTCCGCGCGGCCGCGTGCAGGCCGCTCGGCGCCGTCGCCGAGGCCGGCGGCCCCGAGGTGGCCGGGAAGGCGCTGGAGCTGCTCTCGCGGCTGGCCCAGGACCAGGAGTGGTGTGTCCGCAAGGCCGCGTGCGGGCCGCTCGGCGCCGTCGCCGAGGCCGGCGGCCCCGAGGTGGCCGGGAAGGCGCTGGAGCTGCTCTCGCGGCTGGCCCAGGACCAGGACCTGCATGTCCGCCAGGCCGCGTGCGGGGAGCTCGGCGCCGTCGCCGAGGCCGGCGGCCCCGAGGTGGCCGGGAAGGCGCTGGAGCTTTCTCTCATCTCTGGCACTACGCGCTGCCAGGACCAGAGAGTGGAGTGTCCGCAAGGCCGCGTGCGTGGATCTCGGCGCCGACCCACCAAGGCCGCGCGGAGAGTGGCCGGGGAGGCTGCCAGGGAGTCTGCTCTCCAAGCCAGCGGCCAGGACAAGTAGCTTCGAGTGTCCGCCCGGGATGACCGTGCGGGCCGCTCGGCGCCGTCCGCCGAGGCCGGCGGCCCCGAGGTGGCCGGGAAGGCGCTGGAGCTGCTCTCGCGGCTGGCCCAGGACCAGGACCTGCATGTCCGCCAGGCCGCGTGCGGGGAGCTCGGCGCCGTCGCCGAGGCCGGCGGCCCCGAGGTGGCCGGGAAGGCGCTGGAGCTGCTCTCGCGGCTGGCCCAGGACAAGGACTGCAGTGTCCGCGCGGCCGCGTGCGGGCCGCTCGGCGCCGTCTCCCAGGCCGGCGGCCCCGAGGTGGCCGGGAGGGCGCTGGAGCTGCTCTCGCGGCTGGCCCAGGACAAGAGCTCGAGTGTCCGCCGGGACGCGTCCGGGCCGCTCGGCGCCGTCTCCAAGGCCGGCGGCCCCGAGGTGGCCGGGAAGGCGCAGGAGCTGCTCTCGCGGCTGGCCCCCATGGGCAGTACGACGTGTCCGCGCGGGCCCCCCCCCCGCGTGCAGAAAAAGGCCCGCTCGGCGCCGTCGCGCCCATTCCCGGCGGCCCCGAGGTGGCCGGGAAGTCCGCAGGAGCTGCACTTCACGCCGGCTGGCCCCAGGACCAGACCCCCTCCTGCATGTCCGCCAGGCGCGGGAGTGCGGGGAGCTCGCGCGCGTCGGCCGGAGGCCGTGGCGGGCCCCCGAGGTGGCCGGGAAGGCGCTGGAGCTGCTCTCGCGGCTGGCCCAGGACCAGGAGTGGTGTGTCCGCAAGGCCGCGTGCGGGGAGCTCGGCGCCGTCTCCAAGGCCGGCGGCCCCGAGGTGGCCGGGGAGGCGCTGGAGCTGCTCTCGCGGCTGGCCCAGGACAGGGTCGAGTGCGAGGCCCTCGGCGCCGTCTCCAAGGCTGGCGGCCCCGAGGTGGCCGGGAAGGCGCTGGAGCTGCTCTCGCGGCTGGCCCAGGACAAGAGCTCGAGTGTCCGCCGGGACGCGTGCGGGCCGCTCGGCGCCGTCGCCGAGGCCGGCGGCCCCGAGGTGGCCGGGAAGGCGCTGGAGCTGCTCTCGCGGCTGGCCCAGGACCAGGAGTGGAAGATCCGCGAAGCCGCGTGCGGGCCTCTCGGCGCCGTCGCCCAGGCCGGCGGCCCCGAGGTGGCCGGGAAGGCGCTGGAGCTGCTCTCGCGGCTGGCCCAGGACCAGTTCAGGCCCGCACGCGCGGCCGCGTGCGGGCCTCTCGGCGCCCTCTCCAAGGCCGGCGGCCCCGAGGTGGCCGGGAAGGCGCTGGAGCTGCTCTCGCGGCTGGCCCAGGACAGGGTCGTGGATGTCCGCCAGGCCGCGTGCGGGGAGCTCGGCGCCGTCTCCAAGGCCGGCGGCCCCGAGGTGGCCGGGAAGGCGCTGGAGCTGCTCTCGCGGCTGGCCCAGGACTAGGAAGTGGATGTCCGCGCGGCCGCGTGCGGGCCGCTCGGCGCCGTCTCCGAGGCCGGCGGCCCCGAGGTGGCCGGGAAGGCGCTGAAGCTGCTCTCGCGGCTGGCCCAGGACAGGGTCGAGTGTGTCCGCGCGGCCGCGCGGCGCGCGGCGCGTTAATGGCTGAGTCAGCGCGCGTGCACCTTGTCCCACGCGGCAGCGGCCAGCTGCAGTGGCCACGCAGCCCCTGGTTCTGCCTGCCTCCTCCGCTTTCCCGCAGCCACGCTGACGGGCCTCGCGTCGCAGTGGCAACCTGCATTTAATTCGCAGAATATAAGAGCATCGAGCGGCAGTGCCCGTGTCAATCTTTACTCAATCGTAAGTGCATGGCGAGTCGGCGCGCGTGCCATTCCGTG